AGTTGTATTAGTTTGAGATCGATTGCCTAAAGTAGTGGAGTGCTCAATTGAGGATGCAGTTATGATTAAATATCTCTAATTTTAACCAATACAATAATTTCTCGTAGTCAAATCATGTTAACTATAAGAGTTTTGCGTTGAAGATAAATCTTTCAGTTTTAATAGCTTTCAACAGTGTTGATTAACCAGCCCTCATCGTGCATGACACAACAACACACGGAGTATGTTGTCATAGTGGTAGCTGTTGTCATACTATTGACATTGGGCAACACCACAGAATGAAGATTAGTATTGCAGGTACTGGTGGTAACGCACGCTCGCATACACCATTTACAAACAACCGCGAGTATGAACAGTTTATCCCGTTTCACACTACATTTCTTCAGCCCGATTGTCTCAGGAAGAAACTGTTTCCTAAGTCCATTTCTCTGACGGCTCAATTTCCTTCATGACACCGTAAAAACACTTTCAGTTCGCAATGACTAGCAGATCCGGCAGATCCCTTGTGTGCAGATGTACTCCGTGGAAATATGCAAAAAATCGTGTCTTGCCAGAAATAGATCGTTGAATGTAGGACGAGAATTCTACGTGAAAGTGTATATTTTATGAAACGAGTTGGAAGACTCTTTAACTAAACTTAATTGCAGAAAATCATAAACACTACCCTTATACAGTAATTACAACACAGGCGTCAGTTGTTTGAACAAAAATGCTCTGCTGTATTTGTGATTGAGTGTCCAATTCAACGACTACATCGGGTTAATTCCTTACTCAGAAATGTAATAAATTTAGAATCGACGGCCTGGAATCGCTCAAAGAGAGCTGGACGAGGAGTTAGGTGCCGACACAAGATACGAGGCAAATGTGACTGCTTTAATTTTCAACAAAATCCTGCCTAGTATTTTACCGTTTTCTTTCTATCTAAATATAACCAGCCTAATTTATATAAAACCTGAAGTCAAACATATTTGTTTCTTTTATGTTTCATAAACTATCATATTACTGATACTGAACCAAAAAATAAAGAACTCGGATTTTGACAACAACGCACTTAGTGAGTGGTTGTCTTTGACGGAAGCGTTGGCTGAACTGGTCCTTGTACAGTATTATAATATGTATATTTCAGTATCCAGAAGTCAATAATAAAAACCAACATGATGGTAAAAATTAATGAGATTAAAAGGGTGTGGTATGTGAAATAAAACTATTTTTAACTACGTTTAAGAACAATGGTTCATAAAAAATTAAAACAGTGCATTCTCGAGTATCGAACTTAAAAACAAATAGAGTTACGCTTAGTTCCATCATAGACGTACTAGTTACACAATCCACACTCACTTGTTCGAGGAAGTGAATTCCACCAAAGACCAGCGCAGAGATGCATTTATTCATCCACTTGCGCCGCCACGACCACGATTATGATGTCAAGACAATTGTGATGCATCAATTATGATGTCGACACAACTTGAATTGATGCCGCCCCTTGACCCTCCAGCGGCGTCGTAGTGGTTATAGTGAGTCTCCCAACCATCGGTGAACTGTCCCGTTGGAGTTTGTGACTCCCAACCATCGGTGAACGGTCCCGTTGGAGTTTGTGACTCCCAACCATCGGTGAACGGTCCCGTTGGAGTTTGTGACTCCCAACCATCGGTGAACGGTCCCGTTGGAGTTTGTGACTCCCAACCATCGGTGAACAGCCCGTTGGAATTTGTGACTCCCAACCATAGGTGAACGGCCGTTGGAGTTTGTGACTCCCAACCATCGGTGAACTGTCCGGTTGGAGTTTGTGACTCCCAACTATCGGTGAACGGCCCGTTGGAATTTGTGACTCCCAACCATAGTTGAACGGCCCGTTGGAATTTGTGACTCCCAACCATAGTTGAACGGCCGTTTGAGTTTGTGACTCCCAACCATCGGTGAACTGTCCCGTTTGAGTTTGCGACTCCCAACTATCGGTGAACGGTCGTTGGAGTTTGTGACTCCCAACCATCGGTGAACTGTCCCGTTGGAGTTTGTGACTCCCAACTATCGGTGAACGGCCCGTTGGAATTTGTGACTCCCAACCATAGTTGAACGGCCGTTTGAGTTTGTGACTCCCAACCATCGGTGAACTGTCCCGTTTGAGTTTGCGACTCCCAACTATCGGTGAACGGTCGTTGGAGTTTGTGACTCCCAACCATCGGTGAACAGCCCGTGGAGTTTGTGACTCGCAACACGAGGAACAAAGCCACAGCAAAGATTTGCTTAGGAAAACAGTGGTAAGCAACTAAGTGGTTTTCGAAGTAATGTGCGTGTTTGTGGATTTGGACAGAGCAACCGATTTTTTTCGGATTTGATAACATTTTGTATGTGGGTAGTACTCCATGGTATCTCCAGGGTTATTAAAATTTTGATTTTATATTGTTGCTATCCCATAAAAACCATAAAATAACAAAAAAATCTGATTTTTACAAAACCATTCTCGACCGATTTTGATTCAAAAAATTATATGTTATGGTTTTAGCTCCAAAGAAAGTTATTGCATTTTATTTGATTTTCCCTATAAAACATCGCAGTGACCCCCACCGGTTACCAATGATAAGCGTCGTTGCTAATTATTGGATAAAGTATGTGTCAGATTGCTGATAAAATTTATTACTCTTGGGAAAACAGTTAAGGGAAGTCTAAAACTTCAACAACTTAAAAATTACAGAATGAAATATGGTTTCGGTAAGTAAAGAATAGTTGCATAAGAAGTCAACACTAATTGTTAATTGAGTGCAACCAAGCAATCATTGATAAAGGTTTGAACCCCAAAGTGATAAGAATTAAAATAAAATTATCGATATCTGAAATATTGACAGACAGGTCAAAAACGACCTGGCGCCCCATAAACATGTGTTCAGATGCCGACGTCGTTTTCTTAGAAACTCCGCGAACTTTAATCCGCTATCAGAAGCTTCAAATATGACCGTAACTGCAATTAATTAAACTTTCAAATACAACACACGGAAAGGTCCAGCTCCTCTTTATTGGTAGGATCATTCTTTAAGCTATAGCTACTTACCGTAGTATGGGTATCAAATAATATTATGCGTATATTAAGGGATTTTAGGTTATTGAGATTAAGGTTTATGTACATAAAAATTTTAAGTAGGGCAGATACTTTTTTTAAACTAGTAAGCCATACTTGTGTTTGGGAAATGTTTTTTACCACAGTATAATTTCTGTACTTAGACGCTCCCCGGGAACTGAAACTGTCATTGAATAAAATGAATACCTAATGATTAATGTCTGACTTGAATTAAAATAATGAAAGCTAATAAATATGCCTACTTAATTTTTCATTGTAGCATTTGCAATGAAGCAATATTCGTAGCATTCTACGAAAATAGAAATGAGTCCTCTTTTTCCTCTAGGACTCTGGGAAATTTAACAGTAGTTCCTGAGGGATGTTTGATTAAGTCACAAATTTTGAATACAAAACCAATCCTTTTGGCGATCTCCGTTCGGTCAAGAGGATAATGTTGAGAGAAATGATTCAATTTAATGTTCTGCTGTTTTCATAGACAGCCAAAATCAAACTATATACTAATTGATAAAAATAGAACAGGCAATAAGCACCACGTCCACAGTTCCAACGACAATGAAGACGATTAGACAGCAAGACATGCCAAATCGATTTCCCGCCCATGGCCCTGCGGCCTACATCGCCATGCCTTACGCCCAGAAGCTTTCCTCGTTCTTACACACCTTGAAGGCAACATTAATTAACCGTCCTAGAGGTAATTTGGGAAATCGGGAACAACGCACAAGGAAGGTATCGATTACTTTTTCCCTCATTGGTTTTTTTAAATTTTTACTTGGACCGTGATAAGTTTCTTAAGTTATCTTTTGGTAATAAAATCTAATGAAACGATTTAAGCCTTTGGCTAGGAATAGAACTAGCCATGCCAACCCATGTTAAGTGCAGCCAGTTATATAAAAAAAATAAACGCAGTTGAATTGAACCATTTACCGGTACTCATTTCTGTCCAATACGGAAACTTTTGATCAAACCAAACAAAACCAGCCTTATTGAGGACCATAGCATCTTGTTTAAGTCCAATAAACAGACAACATCACATTATCAAAGGAACCATGTACAGAGGTGGAACCAAAGTTTTAGGCTGAAGCACACTCTGAAAGAGGCTCATTCAACTATAGTCTTTTAATAAAATGTTGGCTAGAGCCAAAATAATACATATAGACGGGATTTCTACTTCTGTACCAAAAGATCAATGTTAACACAACTCTAATATAATTTAATGCCATTAAAAATGATGGCGATTGTATTGTCATTTCACTTAACTTTCAACGTCCAGCGTCATCCAATCTCTAAAGATTCAATGTCTAATTGATTTCACACCTGCAAATTGAGCAGCTCTCGATGTAATTAAATCAATCTCTCCAGTGTTTTGATCACTTGACCCAAATCCCGAGAAAACCCTTTTCTTTGCCATGTCAGTTTTCCCCGAGAATCGATTCGGGGACGAGCTGCTGGACAATGCTGACGACAAGGTTATCAGTTTGGAGATTCTCTTTCAATCGGGAATAAATTAGTTGTATAAAAAGTGGATGAATAGACATCGGACAAAGAGTGGCCCGCTACCCTGGATAGTGTAATTACTAGAGGCTAGAGTGAGACAGAGGATAAGTAGGGCCGGAAACGAAAGTAATGCGAGACCGGAAGACATTGCTAGTAGTCGGCAACTATTGTTATATGGGTGGTTTCGATTGAACACGCGACACGCGTAGTCTCAGCCAAGGTGTCAGCTACCTCCAGCTATTTAGCATTTACGCCTTAGTTTTTGACAATTTATAAATAAACTATAGATACTAAAAGTAGCTCCATGTCATAGGGCAGATTAGAAATCAAAACACTTATTAAATTGTGAAGATAAAAGATCAAAAGTATACGCTAGCAAGTTTTTCAGAAGAAATTAAGTTCTATATTGTTTGAAACAATCCGGTGGACTGACCTGCGGTTATGAGAGAGCTTGTCCGCCTGGTCCTGCAGCCTCCAGATGTTCTGCTCACACTCTACAATCGTCTGCAGTAGTCTGGCTAGTCGTCGGTCACCGCGGGGTCTGAGGGGCTCTAGAGGCCCCAGGGGCTTGCTGGGGGTCGGCAGCCGCAGACGACACTCCGGGGATGGGCTCCTGGCAGCCAACTCCCCTCTGGACCCACCGCGCTGCTCGAAGTACCTTGGCAGAACAATTATGATAGAGTAGGCGAACTGGGTGATGAGAACACCAAGAACTAACTAAAGGAAATAATGAGATTGGCTGAAAGGATGCTGGTCAGGCAAAAGTGATGATCAAAGAACGAGGAAGACAACCAACAGAGAAAAGAAGGGAAAAGGCAAGGTAGTTCGATGTTAGTTTCTTTTATAACAGTAACAGTGAACAGAGTCTTTTAGAAAGTGAAAAATTAAATTAAGGTCCAGGGAATGAAGAAGACGGTACAATTCATTCTCTAAGAAACCCCTAAATTCAACCACGATTTTAAGGGAGTTTGATGGATTTCTTAAGACATTAAAGGGAGTTTTGCATAATATTGACAGTAGTTACCGGCAGATCTCCTTGACGGCAACATTGTTGTTGGAGAGGTCGTGTAGACTCTGGGTCCTGGGAGGTTCAGGTAGGACGATGCTCGGTTCTGCAAGGTCTACGAGGTTATCGCTGCTCAGGACAAACCTAGGTTGAGAACTCGCCCGACCCAGCGACTCAAACAACAGCTTCTTGTCGCGGACTGGAACATACCTAGGAAGACAAGTTGGATTAAGATTTGGAAGTAGGTGAAGAAAATAAATCTTCGTAGTTTTTGCAGTCAGAAATACTGGAAAATACACTTATATCCATAACGTGATGAAAAAACAATAAATCTTCCTGGTAGTTAAAAGCCGGCAAATAATTGATTTTGTGACTAAATAATGATCAAATAATGATAGGTATGCACGTTGAAACCATGTTATTTTTCGAACGACAGTATAAACGAACTCTAAGAGCATTGATATTCCGATGATAAAATAACAGTTAAACTGAAGAGTTCTTCGTTAAAATCTTCAAAATATCTATTTTTTATACTTAACTGTATTTTAATTTTCTGATGATAGATATCTCATTGTTGAATTACCAGACACAAGATAAAGATAAAGAGTAAACCTTACAAATACATTATCACACGCAGTTAGAAGGGTTTTAAACTAACCTGTCTTCCTGTTGACACCTGGCGATCAACTCCGCTACTCTGTTGTTCTCCGTACTCGGCAAGACATCCACGCTTTTCCCTCTCATCCTGAGAGCGGGTGTCCTCGTCCTGGCTCGAGACCTCCTGTCGCAGGGAGGTAGATCCTTCACGACGTCAGGTAAAGGCGGTCTTCCCGTCCTCCCGTCATCCTTCATGTCCAGAGGATGCAGGGGCCCAGGACTCGTCTCTATTGAGTTCTCCCTCGAGAACGTCTTCATCAGCGACTTCACTTTGTTCTTCTCGACGATCTCTACGACCGGAGTTTGTATGCTTTCTTTACTGGGGGTCTTCTGACAACTCCTGAAGCAGTTTTTGCTCTGCTTAGCCAATTGGCAGATTGGATCTACAAACCTGGGGAACTTCGGGGCGTCCAGGCTGGAGTCGAAACTCAACGCTTTTCTGTAGGAACTTCTTCGCTCGGATTTTGGCTCTTCAGTGATGATCAGAGACAGCGGTTGGGTGACCTCGGGCCTGCGGTACATCCTAGGAGCAGTCCTAGGAGGCTCCGGGGTGCTCCGCCCCTTCGGCAGAGGTGAACATCGCAACTCCCACGAGCGGCACTCCGGCTCACTGTGGTACTCCGGGCTGAGCGACCTCTGTGGCTGCTGGGGAGTGATGGTCGCTGTGATGCCTAGGATGTCCAGGTACTTGACTGCCTCTAGAGGTGTCTGCTTGAGCAGCTCTGCCGCTAGGGTGCGCACCCATCGTGAGTAATCCAGCTCACTGGCGACCTGCCACAGACAAGACAAAGTTAGATGTCAAAGGGGACCAGTATAGTCTGAAGGGACTAGAAGGTACATCTAGTAGATAATACACAAATGCCTCACAAAACACGAGTAAGGACATTTTTGTATACATGCTCATATCATAATTATTGGTAACAGAGATCACGGCTGGTCTATTGGTTAAAACACGTATGTCCTCGAGCCTGACTGATAAATCTCTCAATGAAGTATACTCTGTGGTAACGTCGAGAACCAACGTTTCTTTCAATCCATGTACAAACACGAGCTGTCGGTCAGTCCTACGTACGGGAATGGAGTATGCAATTGAAACTAAATTTAATTTAGAATAGCTACTGTAGTTTACACGCATAAAGGCAAATTCTGGCAGTTTTAATGGGGGAAATGATCTTGTTAGCAAATGTAACGTGACCAAATATAACAGAAATTGTGACGATTTGAAAAGCCTTGAAGTGAGATTATGGTCAATTCACTCAAATTGGTTTTGAGTACAGTAGCTACATACCACTTTCCATATACTATCACTTGCCGTATCTTATTTTACCTCCGTGGTCACTGAAACCTTAAGAGGATTTTGGCCTCCCATTCTCTTCTATCTCTTGCCTCTTCTTATCTAGATCCCAGTCTGGAGATGTCTTTCATTACTTGGTGTTTACACCTCATTCTTGGTCTTCTTGGTCTTTCTTGATCGTCTACCTTGTGGTACTTTTTAGAATACATTTTTTAAAAGTTTATGTGTCTTCTCTCCACCACGCATAACCTGCCTATCCGAGCCGAGGGTGAAAAGCGCCCTCATTTATGGATGTTTATAGATTTCTCATAGCTCTCTGTTCTTTCGTATCTCAACTTCCATTATTTTGAACTGGTCTGTCATTTTCTATGTACTCTATTCTCAAACCCAGCAATAACGTTTTTCGGTTCTTTGGTCAGTGACTAAGTTTCTGAACCATACATTTTTACTGGGATGGGTATGGTATGGAATGAATTGGTTTTAGTTTCTGCTTACACACTGCAGCTTATTGGACAATTTTCTAGAGACCTACTACACCGGTTATCATTTTGATTACTACAAAAAAATTTTGGTATGCCGACATACACACATTCGAACGACAAGAAAAATAAGTGCTAACACGTAAAACACCTCTATGCTCAAACGATAGTTTGCTAAACAGATTTTTCCCAAACGTGAGTTAAAATGTCCATTGCATAATCTTATACTTACACTGATTACATTTACAACAAAACTTTATTACAGTATACACAGTATTTCAATTTGAGATGAATAGTTCATAATCACAAAGTTCCTACGGCAGGAAAAACTACGAATACTAGAAAAATACGGAAAACTATATTTTAACAAATACCGACGATCGATATTTTTGTAAACAAATAACAATTCAATGACAGTTTGAAACCAACTGTTAGTTAAACCAGTACTAAAACGACTTTAAATTGTAAGCGTCGGCTGCTAGAATTTAAAAATTCAAACTTAGGTTAATTTCTACAAACTGAAATTATGGCTTCGAAATTCACGTTCTTTCAAAACTATCTTTATTCTTACAAAAAAAAAAAAAAAACAACACGAAAATTCGTCAAATGGTTGATTTAGAATCGTGAAATAAAAAAAACCCCTGACGCGTTTTATGAGTTATAAATGAAGTGAGGAAAACTGTCCCCATATTGAAGGTATATACGAGTAAACACGAAAATCTATCAGATAATATTTTTAGTCCACCTACACTACTGGATATCTATAGAATCTCTTAGCGATTTCCTACATTTTTACATGAAATAGAGATCACAACGAAGAGATTTATAAGCTAAATTGCTACACAATCAGCGATCAATTCAGTTGTCAGAATCAGAATATTACAATTATTGATTGACGATTTAAGTATTCGAGTTTATAGTGTACTAGCTGGCCCGGCAGACGTTGTCCTGTCCTAATGTGGTTTTATGTCAAATGCTCGTTCATTTTTAAGATGAGCTCGTTCGCATGGCTCAATCACGTCCTGGTTGAACGTGGTACGTTATTTACGAGTCAAGTGTGAGGTGACAAACATGTTCTCTCGTAGTCGAGACCTTCTGTAAAAGCAAATATTGTATCGGCTCATGGCTGTGATAGCGGCAGCACCAGTCATGGGGTAATGGAGTACTCGAACGTAAATGCTATCAAATGAAACCAATGGACGAATACAACGCTGATTTATGTTATTGGAATGGCGCATTTGTAGAAAAACCTAATAGCTCTACAATGTGAAAAGAAAACTGTTTGGTTATGTTGCGATTGGGAACACATCTAATAAAGGTCATAGTGTCACCAACTTCAAATAAAATGCTGAAATCATTGACTGTATACGCGTTCAACATTGGTGATATCGTGGGTGCCTAATTAAATTTCTGTACCTGAATTGACATTTTCAATACAGTACTCGAAGAAAATCTAGTGTCGAAGGTTTAAACCAAAATCTGTTGCAACTCGTTACATTGGAGCAATTAATAAGAATCACGTCGTGTTCTAGGAAACAAGTTCATGTACACTTCTTATTTACTGATCTCGCACGGGTCAATGAAGAACCCAAACATGTAAGTACCTGCAATGCAGTGATTTTACAATTATGTCTTTTTTACTCAAGGTTCGCCGGACCACTCTATGAAGGCGGAAGTTGCTTATTTATTTGTCACTTTTTCGAACTCTTGTCAAACTCAGAGCACGAGCTGCAACAAAGGAATGGCGAGGAAATTGCGCCAAAAAACAACAGCGATTTCGGCGGGAACGAATGTGGGGAAAGCTCACGATCAGCTGATAGATTTGTGAGCTTCCGCAAACGCGGGAACGATATATGAAAACCCGACGTGATGCTTAAACAAACACACCACATAACATTACATAACGTAATAGTTGATAAACTGGGAAAACTTCAACAGTCGCAAAAAAAAAAAAAATAAATTCATATCAGAGATACAAGGAAAATATGTAATGCAATCAAGAGGATTATAAAAAATAGACAAAATGTAAAAAAATTAATCCAATATGGTAGCCTAGTTGAAAATTCGAGAGAAGTAAAAAAACCTACAAATGTTGATTTCACAAGTACAGTAGTACATAGATGTTCTGGTTTCTGGGTAGTATGGTAGTTAAGCTCATTCGCTTTTCCAGTTCATAGACAAGGGGGTCTCACGCAGGAGACTTGCAGATCTGTGAATTTTTCAAAGACGAAACTACCAGCTATAATTTATTTCCGATCATTCGCTAGTTTAGTCTACAGTATATACCATCAATCAATCGTAATCGTGATATCATTCCAAGAAGTTGAGGGTTGCGCACACAAAACTACTTTATATGGCGCCTTGCCGGGAAGTCGGCAGTCATTATCAGCTGCTAACTAAAGACGCTTTGTGGCTTCATTCCTTATCAGTCTGCAATTCATCAGTCAAATGCACCAATTAACATCTTGTTCGTGGCTTATAATAATTAAATATCAGTGCTTTATTGGGGTCGGTCAAATTTTAAATTGATTAAACGTTGGTTAAATTTCTAGGAATATTAATGGCATTTAGTAGAAGAGATGTCAATAAAGACCAAATAAAATAACAATAAAGAATTATGTAAGAAAATACTGACACTGGTAAAAAATTATTATTCTATTGCTATTTCTCACTTTCAATAATACAGTACCATCAAAATGAAATTGCTACACAAGTTACGGGTTTGTAAGGACAAGACATGACAAACGTATATGATAGATGATAGTCAGAGAACGTACTGGGTACAATGTGAAATGTAAAAGTTTTTTCTTCATCAAGAACTGGTATTATTGGTTTTTATTCAAATTTAAAATACAAATTTCACAAATATTTTTGAACTTTTATTTTCATGAGGCTTTCGCCAGCTATGCTGGCTTCATCAGACGCATCACAAAAACTTAAGGGTATGTTTATGCTTACAATAATACATTTTAAATCTAACATATGGTTAGTTACATATGAACAAATATTTTGTTGAGTACAGTTAGGTAATATTACAGAACTAAAATAATATTATAGGACTAAAATTATATATGTATAAAAATAAATATATATTTTGAAGTATGTTTTAACCATAGATTAACCATACTCCCTTACTTATAATTTTGTAAATTTGGATTTTAGTAATGTTACATTTTAATTTGCCTCATGGAAATAAAAATTCAAAAATATTTGTGAAGTTTTTATTTTAAAATTGAATGAAAACAAAAATATATCCTGAGCTAATTAAAACATGCACAAGTCGATACAGTACATAAATAGGCTGCCACTGGCCAATTCAGAATGCGGTTTCCCAAAGCTAACATAAATTATTTTGCCGCACACCCTCAAGCATCGGTGGTTCAGTGGTAGAATGCTCGCCTGCCACGCGGGCGGCCCGGGTTCGATTCCCGGCCGATGCAATGTACTTTTTGTCACATTTTATTTTTGTCAATAGTTAAAACTCTGGGTAAAAAGTGTGACCACGAATGATTCTAATGAGTAAACGATATTTTTTAGCTGAATGTACAGAATAGTAACTTAGACCACAATAAACATGGAAAATAATTTGCATCAATGATTTAATTTGCCTACTTAACTTTTATTTTCTAACAGAAGAGGATATAATTGTATTTTTATATAATAAAAGAAACTGCACGTGGTATACAAATGTCACTTTAAGTACAGTAAATTATTCAGATTGGGTTTCGACATTGGAATTCATTTACTGTATGTGAAATTGGTGTGGTGAAAATTAGTGAACAATTTTTTTTTAACTCTTCGTAATAAAAGTATTATGGTTTAAATATTAAACCCTCGCAAAATATCCTTAGACATGTTTTTAATAGTAATAAGTTTTTATCGATTTTTGTTATTATTAAAATATCATAGTTAAGGTTTTCTAGCTTAATTAAAGTTTTTGATGATAATAGGTTTTCATAATTATTGTTATTTATTATTTATAATTACTGTTATTTAATTGTGTACGTGCAATTTAATACACTTATATTGTTATTTATTTATCATGCATTGAAAATCTATTATCTCTTCATATCTATTATTTATAATAGGCCTAAGTTAATCTATAATTGAATCTATTATTTCTTCATATGTTGTTGGCAAATACCCAAATGGCGGCATGAGAATTTAAATTTGGCGCATGCAAAAATTATTAACACATAAAAAGTCAAATACAATAATTATTGGAATGCAGACAATTCTACTAAAAGTTTATTCCGGTACCGGGAATCGAACCCGAGCCTCCTGGGTGAGAGCCAGGTATCCTAGCCACTAGACCATACCGGACTACGATTGTCGCGGTCGAGAATTACACAAATGAACTTAGTACAGTTGTAGTTTCACGTGGAGCCAACTACACGTGTTGTTTTGATACTGTATTCTGTTCATATTTCGTATTTCGTCACCAACATGGCAACCAATAAGGCCCATGTTAATTTATTGTTATTATTATTTAATGAATATTTATTATAATTATTATTTATGTTATTATTCATTTATTCATTTATGTCATTATTATTTATGAATAATTATTTAATGAATAATAATTCATTTTTTATTCTTTTTTGAGCCCATTTTAATTTTAAAAGGGATTCTGCACATCTACAGGCAAATATCTTTCTAACAGTATGCGTAGATTTCCCTGCGATGCACAGGAGCTGTAAAAAAAGGTTTTCAATAAACATGCTTGTCTATAAGTATATAGGGTGTCCCGTAAGTAAGCAGCCAAACTCCGGGAAATGGTTTTATGGGTCGAAATAAAGAGAAAATCTAGAATGGCATTTTTTCCAAAAATCACTTTGTTAACCAGATATTCGCCAGTTTGTTTTTTTCACAATAACATTTTTATCTTTAAAGTTTTTCAACGATCATTATGAAATTTGGTATGTATGTTAAGGTAATAGAGACCCATGTTGGAAAAGAAAATTCGTCTTAATTCATCATGCAATTGAAAAATTGCGAACATTTTAATTTTTTTAACTTAAATTACCAAAAAAATGGCTGATTTAAAAAAAAAATGACAAGAACACTTTTATTTGGAATTTTTTAATTCCCTATCAAACGATACCAAGGTCAAAAAGGTTGAATAAGAAATAGCTGAAATATTACGATTTTTAGTTGTAAAATGGGGCAAACCATGACTAGCTTAGCCTTTTTCTACCCCAGGAAGTTCCTGTATTTATAACTTATACTTAAGGATTCATAGTCAATGCTTATACTTATAACCGCAGTCCCCGAATCTTTGATTTCTTTGAGATTTATTTACTTTAAATATCTCGACAGTAAATTCTCCTCAATTGCTTACGTTGTTCCCCGTATGATTTGTTAGGGACTTTAGAAAATTGAATGGGTATCTCTGGGCTATTTTTTTTTTCAATTTCTTCAATAAAAGAACTACTTATTCTTGAAATTGTGTCAAAATAGGTTGGATCTGCTTCATACATAGATGTCTTTCAAAGTCAATCTCTAAAAGCTACAACTGAAAATTGTAGTACAAATCACTAGCGAAAGTAAATCTGTTATATGTTATGATTGTCACTATGAATAGAATACTTTTTAGACTGCGTAACCACTATATTACAGAAATTAAACTCTTTCTGAGCTCGTGCATATTTAGGATCCGGTAATTCTGATGAAACCCCTGATCGCATTAACGTTATTGTTACCACTGAGTAGACTAAATCTTTTATCACTACTTCTGCCTCATCGTCATCCTCCTCTATTTCTATTACTTAACTACTAAAATACACGATGAAATATCTAAACCTAAAGCCAGTAGACTATAGTATAGTCAATGTCCTCAGGCCCGGTTGTGTAATGCTTGTCCGACAGTCCTATACTATGGAAGAGTGCGAGCTGGTAGTGTTATGGTGCGAGGTTTCGGTCCCGGGTTCAAATCCTGCTTATCACAAATGGTTTATATCCATGTGATGATGCCATATAATCCTCTCGGCCTCGCCTGAAGTAATGTGTAAAACCAAAGATGAAGTAATGTAAAACGATTCCGGGCTAAAACCTAGCAACCTATGACGTAAAGGTATATAAACGTGGACCTGGTACCTGGAACGTAGCGATGGGCTCGGCCTCTCCATGTCTTGTGAGGCTGAACCCCCGTGGTCTGCCCGAGGCGGCTGGTTGGAGGTGTAGATGTCTCAGGGGTATCCGCCACGACGAGCCGCATCCTCCGCGGGGCCCTGGGTACACCACCAGCTGTCCATCCCTCACCTCCGCCCAGTGGGGCTCCGAGGATGTACCTCCCACCAGCCCCAGCTCGCCTGTAACATCAGGTAGAGGATGAGGAGAGAGACAAAAGGTCTACAGTGGTTATCAACAGTGAAGGCGTGAAGGTTCCTATAATGTAACAACATGCTCCTAGGTCTGTAGTTGTAGTAAGAAATATGATGTTGATATTTCAAAGAATCTAACCAAGATATAAATCAAGTTTGGTGAACAGAACACATAGATTTACATAACATGCAAGTACAACAGTGTCTAACAAATGACCCATTTGATTAAAAGTTAGGTAAAACAAACATTAACATGACTCTCCTACGTCACTGACATATTTCTACGGAAACATCCCAGTATTCATAACATTATACGATGGACATTACAAGCAATATTGAAGGCAGTGCGAAATTAATCTTGCATTGACCAGATTGACTGATAAGGCTTCTGATAGCCTACATCCTGCCTGACACTTCCTGGAGTGACAGAAACGGCCGAAACCCTACAATTGGTCAACTGATATTGTATCATGATGACGTGGCAAAGTTACCCTTTTCCGTGGTAATACGTAAATCATTCCACTTCAAAAGGGTTGTCCTTAGGTGACATTAAAACTTCAAACAACACAAACTCATTGACTGAGAAGGGGAGAAAGTATAAAACGAATCAGTCGTTGTGAACTTTTGACGAAAATCTAATAGAGTAGTTTACCTACTTAATTCACACTTAAGGTAATAAAACGTTACCTTGTAATTATCATCGTAACGTTTTCCGTTATATAAATTTCATAAGACATTTTATGTCTACATATTATATAAGCTTAAGTATAACTGATATCAACATATAGTTGCAGTAAAAAAAAACCGTAATTTATAATCACTCGCGTTTATATATGTTCCACTTCATCCAAAAGAGTGCGGAGTCAGTAAAACTCACGATTGACCTCAACTTCAACTGAATTTAAGTCGTACGGAATTATTTAGTTGCTAACCTTCAATAAAAGGTTGAAAAAGACCCAAGAGATTGGCAGGTAGATATCTAACCTGTCTCTGGACATTTCTCTGGCAAAGGCAAGTGAAATGTCAACTTGGGAGGCCTTTGATAGGTCAAACACTCACCTTGGGACAGCTGATTGTGGCTGTTTCCTTGCAGCTCACATATCTTTGACTTTGGAATGCCACTTAAATGTTGGTATTATTGGTATCATCGAAGAAGGACGGTATTAAGGTAGCTGAATTACACTCCAATGCAATGTGTATATAGTTTTTATTATATGTGATATGTGGCACAACCACCAAAACACAACAGAAACGATCAAGTTAAGGACTCCGAACAAGCCTTGGGATAGCATATGGTAGAGATAGTTTACTTCCTGATGTACTGTGCATAATGATTGGATCCTGTTCGATCCTGAGAAGTCAGTAGCTTTTTGATGTTTCGAAACTCGGCCTAGTTGTCCTTGATAATTGAGGACCTCCTTAATAAAGAGACCTGGCTTAAAAACTAACTGATCTCAGTCGGTAAAAAAGCTACTATCAATAATTCTCGTCTTCATTTTAAAATACACATTGTGGTGTAGGTGAAAAAGATCCTAATTAAAATTGTCTATAATTATAAACAAATGACAGTTCAGTGTGAATAGCAGGCTACTACAGTATACTATTCTATGCTTCGAAGGCCTTCTGGTCAGTGAGTTACTAGTAGTAAGTTATTGATTGCTTGAACTTATCCACGATCACTTTCTAACCTTCAATTTTTAACAAGCCTTAATAACCTTATTTGTTTAAGATAGTTAAACGTTTTGCTGTTAAATTTAGGATTTCATTATTGTCTTAACGACACAAAATTTCTTTTACGCTACTTCGAGATGCACGGTATTACAGGTAGGCTACTTAACAAATTACCGCTTTAACACGTTGGGTGCTGATGACGGGAATTCCCGCAATTGCTTAACATTGAAATAAATGCAACTTTTATGTTCAAACATGTCGACAGCACGAATAGTGTTAAGGACCTTTAAACAATTCCACCATAGCGATCGTCTCCGTGAAAGGTTTGTGTGTCGTGGAGGCCAATGAACCTTACATAACCATAATCGTATCCATAACCGGCTCATGATGGGCGAAAGTGGCACGACGCATCCTTCTGTTCAACCACTAGGTGCGATACGATAATCGCGATCACGCGATTCGATAGAACGTGAAATATCGGATTGTTGATTAATGTAAGCACGTGACTAAAATTACGGCGGATTAATCTCGTGTTTTTTAAGCCACAAGAAATCTTAAATGACCAAATCTTATAAGTATTAACTATTTTCTCAGCCCGGGAAAGACGTGTAAGATCTTAACTCTCAGCAATGCTACAAATAAGACATTACCTACACGCATAAAGCCCAAGGTTTGTGTCTGTTATGGTCTAAGGTCGACACTTGTACCAGATACGTGCAGAGAGTGTGAAAAGTCACAGAAGAATGTAGAGATCAATCTATTAGTGGACCTGCTGCCCTTATTGGTGCGACCTTCAACATGATAAAGTACAACTGTAGTAGAACAAACATGGACTAATTGAGAAATGTCCAAAATTACGAGGTCATATAGCCAATGCAAAATAATAAGAAAATTTTAACAATATCACCATTTTCCATTTACTGTAAGATTCTAAAAGAAAATAAAATTCTAGTAAACACATATTTTGTAAATTCCATCTAGAGAATCTTAATCAGACAAACATTGTTATCCTGATAAACAAACAGCAAATACAATTGCTCTGATTTCTATACTTTGCACATCTCAGTACTATATCACGTTTCGACTAAGTAGAATAATTAAACCTACCAAACGATTAAGGATACTGCATTTAATAATCAGAGTCTCTTGTGGTTGCGGTCCCTTGTGTGGTTGTGGTATCTTTGTGTGGTTGAATTACACAAGTGTTGAAAGTTACACCGTTTATCCTCTTACAAAACTGAATAGTTTGCGATGCAAAACAATCAACAAGGATTATTGAAATGATCAAAAGCACTGTGTTATGATTTATGCATTTACAATCAATTTACTAATGAGAGCTAGAGAAATTGAGCTAGAGAAATAAAGATTTGTTGAAAGCTTTTGATCGATGTTGTCGAGTAAAACCGTGCCGTTTTTCGTAGAAACAATACTCTGACCATCGATTTTCATATTTTAATCTCTGTCATTCTTAAAGAGATTCAACAATGTTTCATATTTGCAAGTCATCTCACAACAGCTTCAATCTTGGAAGGAAATATGACCTGTCTATTCCACTATCTCGTACCACTTTTCAAAAAATCATTCAACATGTGAATCCCTCTTTTCAATTCTCTTCCTAATGCAATCAAGGGGGTAAATCATTTTTTTTTTTTATTTAAGCATGGTTCGTGGAAATATTTGGTTAATAAGGAATTTTACAGTGTTTCTTCATTTTTAAAATGTAAATAGTATGTAAAATGTAAATAGTAGTTCTTTATTTTAATGGGTATGATTTTACTTGTTTAGTTTTAGTGACTTACAAGCTCACTAAAACCCTGTACATTCCCCTGTACATGTTTCTGTGTTTCCCTGTACATTTTTTTATTATTTTGGCAATAAACGTTTCTGATTCTGATTTGCAAATTTTCTGATTTAAAAATAATTAAATCAGTCCATAGTGCTATAAATACCTTTTTAATGTTGTCATCTTACCGATCTTGCTAAATACCTCATTGTGATGGTCAGATGTGCTGGCTGATTGGCTGATAAGCAATCAAACATTACTTAGGAATGCTAACGGTTGGAATACTCTAGATAACGTTTGTACTGTATGAGTCATCTACGTCAAACTAGCGAAACCCGACAACTAGCTTTTGAGGAGAAATGACAAAAAACTCATTAGCTATAGTAGACTCGAGCTCACAAATGAAATGGTCAGAAAATTATGAAAATATTTTCGTCGTTGAACTATGCAGAGTGTTTCCAAATTGTCTGGACATATTTTGTGGACTTGTTCCTTGGGATAAGACAAACATAAAATTCCGTATAAGTATGGTTATAAAAGGCCTAGATTTCTGTTTGTCGGTCTGTTTGTGATTTTTAAGAATTATTTTGTATCCTGATAACTTTTCAAGCTTAACATTGGATGACAAACATACAGTGTTGGGAATTAGCGTGCTACAGTAGTGCGCTACTTATTTAGTTGCATTAGCTGTAGCTACGCTACTTTTGTTTTTTAGCTTTAGCTGTAGAGTACTACATTTTTTAAGTAGTTGTAGCGGAATTTAAGCTACTTTTCTCTATACATTAACATAGATTGAGATAGTTATTTTTATCACAACCTTACGTGAAACAACCTCTTTCAAACTGAAATGTTCAAGAAAAATAGTCCTTACTTTCTTGGCTTCATACAGCTGGTCGCAGCCGTTTCATTACCTATTACAACGTTGTGTGGACATGGAGGCCATTATCTGAGTGTTATCAACATTTTTTGCTCTCATTTCCTTCATTTGCTACTCTATGACTAAAATAAAATTGCCAGATGCTAGACGACGTTTAAACGTTACCGGTGACAAGAGAAGCTATTGAATGCTTACAAGTGATTGACAGGGAAATTAGTAATCAATAAAAAGTTTCATTGTTGTTCTTTGATTAAGTTTTTTGATGCTTTAAACTGTGAGTTTAGTTGCTATTTTGTAGATTCAAAAAATATTCTTTCAGCTACATGCATTTATGAAAATATAACAGATAAATACAACGAATATACTTTCCCGCTTTCAAAAGTAACACAGCTAGGAAATGTCTCAGTGTTAAAATATCACCCCTAAGTAAGGGCGTATATAGATGTTTTCAAGATAATTGGTTCTACTGTCAAATATTTACTATCAAATATTATCAACGACCACATACATTAACATGGAAACAGTTAAAGCGAGTCATTGAGTCATGCTGGTGGCGATGAGTTGATTGGTGAGTCAGGAATGAGCCCTAGAGAGGGTTGGTAATGCGTCATGATAGAATAGAGAACCCGCCGGGTAAACTTTTATTGTTTTGCACGT